TGGACACACTCAACACAGACGGACCCTCTCTAGTGCCCCTTGTCAAAATTTTACAGTAGGTAAATTTTAATACTAAATGTTTATCTTTTTTCGACACCAAAGAAGTTTGCTAGTGTTAACAGCTAATTGAGTACCACTGAATGGCTCCTAGATTGCATCTCAGAGCTTATAATTTTCGAAACATTTCTGGGGGTTGCAATCGCCTTCAGACCCCCATAGAAGTCCCCCCCCTTTTTTTTAACCCCTCCCCTTCCTCCTTTTCAGCATTTTGTCTGTCTCATGCCTGTATTAGTTTCTGCTTTTGGGAAAACACAGGTTCGAAAAGATAAAAATCCCTTAATGCGGGAAGGAGTGGTGACCAAAGAAAGTGGTCCCCGGTTAAAGAGGAATTAAGGCAGAAAATAGGGTCTTATTTTTACCATCAACTTCAAGAGGGAGTATTCTCTGAAAATCTATAATAAAGGAGGGATAACATGTTTTTCCATGAAATTTGTAGTCCTCAGGTGTTGACTAGACTATGTGTGGCTAATAATTTGGCTCATATAATTCAATCAATATTCTGCAGCAGTGTTTTAGCTCATCTGACATAGTCAGATGCAGGCTTTGTAGAAATCGCTTGATCGTCCGTCCGTTCCGTGGCGTCCGTCCGCCGTTCGTAATCCGTGCCGTCAAACAGTTTGGGCAACAAAACTAACCGCTATCGTCCTCGACGTACGGTCCAACGATATCGGCACATCGGGGGGGATCGTCAAACGAGTTTGGGATGTCCGAAGCTGGGGGGTCAAAAGGTCAAAAGGTCAAGAGCTGTAAAGAAGGGGGAACATTCAACATCCTTACTTAAGGTATAGGGAGAAAATGCATAAATTGCGGCACAAATCTAAACGGCTCGACAACTAGGCTCGGATAGTCGGTTGTAATAGCAATCATGGTAGGAAAAGCCATCAACTGTGCCCGAAATTGGAGGTCACAGGTCGAAAGGTCAGTGGGCACAGGGCAGATTTTTAGACATTTTTTGAAAGGAACCCATGGGTCTGAACGGAGCGATTGAAAAACTTTGTTGTTTCCAAAGCGGTGACTTAGCATTTTTATGGCTTATTGAAGGGAAGCCCATGAATGTCCCCCTTCCTGCTGACAATGCGAAGAGTAAGTGGTCGGATAACCTTTTTGACCCTACAGAGCGAGGGTTAAAGCATGGATTTGGTTGACTGTTTAACAAAGGGAGTGATACTGATTTTGCTATTAGAGCCTCCCCAGGTCCCAAGCCCCTCACCCTTCCCCCCTCCCGCCACCCTCCGCCCACCCTTCCCCCTAAACCCCTCCCCCCCCTACCGTCAAGAGGTAGGGTTAAACATGGATTTGTTTGACTGTCCTGTTAAGGAAGAATTGACTTGCCGGGTTTTGCTAAGTAGAAAATCTAATACCATGCCTGGATGTTATGAGGGCTATCAATAGTCAACAGTGGAAATTCAAAAGCTAAATTTTGGTTAAGAAGGTGCGTATAATTCCTTAAATTCGTAATAATTTTCTATGTCATTCTGTACTGTCAGTTGTTACATGTCAACGTAAATGCCCGACTGCCCAGTGCTGTGCCTATGTGTTGGGAGTGCAGTTTTTGCCTGCATTAATTGTTACAGGTGGCAGCCTCTATTGCAAATTGCAGCCTGTAGGCTTTGCGTAGGTATAATGGATAGTGATTACACTAGATTATCTGTCCTTTGCAAATAGTTGTTTGCTACTGGGACGAATGATGGGAGCTTCCATCTTTTTATATCTGAATACACTTAAACGTAACCACGCCATCCTCGTGGGCAGAAACTTTCATAACGATCCAAAACGAACATTGCTTTTGAGAAAGGTTCCTGAACTTACCATCTCTTGTGCATTCCACTATTTTCGGTTCGTGTAGTGTGAACAATTTTGGGACTTAACAAGGGTTTACTAGAATCCCAAGCCACTCCACAAGAGTCCACCGCAGTAAACCGTTAGATGAGCGCTGTCCGCTATCGCGGTCACTTGTTTCCAAAAAAGACAGCGGTAATCAGGAATTACCGCCTTCTGAAACGATTCTCCTAAAATGAGTCACATTTTCAATATCATAGTTGCTGAATAATGGACATTGTGAACACTTCCTAATGTTTCTAGTTTACAATGAATCCAATAATATAGTCACATATGTGTGATAAACCACCATAAATTTAAGATATTCCTCGCAAAAAGACATACATTTAAATTGACCAAGAACATGAATATTTCAAATTGTTGTGGTACATGGTAAGTAAATCGTTTGTCATAATTGATCAAGTGGTTCAAGCACTTCAAGTCCTGGCTAGATAATATGTTTTGCAGTACCCTTCTTTTGGGCACATTCTTCTGTGTGATTTACAATGGTAAGGTAATCAATTCACCCACTGCTTTATAAAGAAATCGTTCAAATCTTCAAATATTACGCTTCCAAAACAGATTATTTTTGTTTTTAAATTCCACTTAGATCCACTTCTTGAGACCTTTCTATATATATCAGCAGAAGTTATTATAATCCACATTATGTATGATTCCACCTGTTTGAGCCTGCCTAATATAAAAATATTGATGAACAAAGCAAAACTAGAAGAAAGGTCAACAAACTTTAGGTTACTGTCCAGGCTTTCATTTTTAAGGGGCGCGATGGCTCGCGCTGTCGCCGCGCACTGCGAAACACCCGAAATTGTGCCATGGTGCGTGCATCATCGCGCCTCATAAAAGTGGTTGAAATCGCGCACGCAAGAAGTATGTGTATTAATGTTTGAAATACGCGCTCCATAGAGTTTGTCAATGTAGGGGGTACAAAAAGGTTACAAACACAGCAAACAATTTGTGGTGTGTAAGTAAGCTGAACGTATGGAAGAGGTACAGGTTACTACTTTCTGGTTTTATACAACTAGACAACAGCATCAAATACAGGTACCTACACGGTAGCCCACAAGTTACCTGCTCGTTTTCCACTATACGGTGCGATAAGTGGTTTTGCTGCCGACGCGTGAAACAGTTGTAGGGCTTGGAGGGGCTACATACGTGGGTACTACTTACAAGTAATTTGGCTAGTTTGTTGATGGATTGTGATGATGTTTCGTGCTGAAATATGCAGGTACAGGATGAAAATGAGAATAAATTAAAAACACAATTTATTTTTACATCCGATGCAACTCTTTATTAATTCTGTGTGCTGTGTTGGGGTTGTTTGATGAAAAGAATGTAATCATGACGAAGCCCATTGAATGAATGAAAGTAAGATGAATGATAATCGAGTTGATTGATCATGAACAAATCCCAATTTTCGTTTTGGATTTCAACTCTAGACTGAGAGTTGGTAATGATTACCATCATCACACCCCAAGAGGCATGATGGAAGCCTTCAATTGAAGCTTCTCCATCACCCTTTTAAGGGTGTGATTTTTTAGTAGAGCTCTCCAATCATGCCTCTTAACACGTGCAACGCGAAACACGAAGTATACCCGTTCGAACCTGCAAAAACGCACGGCCGCGAAAACGCGTATACTCCGTGGCAAAAAAATAAATAAAAAAAATAATAATTTGGAACGTTTACTATGTTCTCCTATAGATTGGCAGGGGCTATACGCTTAGTCAATTCAAATAGCGTCACTGTATAAACCCCAGTAGTAGATGACATGATTTAAACAATACTTTACTGTTGTTTGGAAACGTTATTTTGGAGTTTTGGGACTGAGAAATGTTTTTAGTTCACCTCGCCAAGAGGGCGTTTGACCGCCCCGTGTTATTGTGAAGTTGTTTTTATGTCTGAAAGTTGTGTTTGATTTGATAGATCACGGGTGATAGATTCCGGTGTTGTTTCGATGTCTTGAGAGTAAAGTTTATATCTATATTATCTAGGCTCACTAATTATAAATAATTTTATATAGCTAGTTTTAAACCTGCCAAAAACATTTTGTGTAATAGGTGACTAAGCGGTAAAAACGCGAAAATCTCAGCACAGGGCGGTAGGTGCATTGTTAACCCAGGCAGCGTTGAACGTGTTAAGGGTGTGATTTTTTAGTGGAGCTCTCCATCATGCCTCTTAAAGGTGTGATTATGGAGCGTGAAAAGACCCTCTATGGTGTCCTAGGGGAGTCATTAGTAGTCCTCCTGTACTTTTCAAATCTGAAAGCCTGCTGTCCATGAAAGAAAGAAAGAAAGGTTGAGTATTCCAGTTATCAGAAAATGCATGAACAAGGACAATGAACATCCTATTCTAGTGGAGGTTTAAAATGTTCAGGTAAAAGTAATTCTTGCCCTTCTGTCCATTTGCCCCTCATTGAGGATTTGTATGATACAGGACCTGTTTACTCTGTCAGTGTCCTCTTGTTCAGGCCAAACATATTTTTGAAATGGAGTTTTTTTCACAAACTTGACTAACATCATCACCATCAGTTTTAATCACCTGGCCAATGAACTGTTTTGCATTTTTTTTCCTTGAATTACTGAAGCAAAACCCATTTTTATTCCAGATCCTTTTCATTTCCTACACAACCAGTGCCATCCTGGTTGCTACCATCATCACTGGGACGGTTGCCATCACCAACACTACTGTCCACACCATCACGAACATGGCTACCATCGTCATCATCGCCACCATCATCACTGTCACTCCCATCGCCAACACTGCTACTACATCAACCGTCACGCTCCAGTCGCCAACAACTGCCACCATCATCACCCGTCACTATCTCCAATTCGTCGCCAACACTGCTATCACCGTCACTCCCATCGCCAACACTGCCACCATCATCACCGTCACTCCCATCGCCAACACTGCTATCACCGTCACTCCCATCGCCAACACTGCCACCATCATCACCGTCACTCCCATCGCCAACACTGCCACCATCATCACCGTCACTCCCATCGCCAACACTGCTATCACCGTCACTCCCATCGCCAACACTGCTATCACCGTCACTCCCATCGCCAACACTGCCACCATCATCACCGTCACTCCCATCGCCAACACTCCCACCATCCATTGTTGTTTGGCTGCCATCATTACCCGCACCACTATCTTGGATATTGTCATTTTTGAACTTGTGCATGACAGAAGGCGCTTTAGCATGGTTCTGGATCTCCAGGCTATATATATATATGGTCGATTCACTGTTACCCAGTTTCGTGTCAAACCAGTCGGTAGCCAGACGCATGGGCTCTGGAGACGATCGTAAGCATCCCGATCCCACTCGGGTCGTATAGTGTGCGGCTAGCATTGGCCATCGAATGAAGTTGAAAATGAAAAATCGGTAAAATTTTGCCTAAAACCTTGAGAGTATCCTTAATGTTGCACCAACTTTAGAGACTGCACATTTCCGCTTCAAAATTTGCCAAATTCCGTTTCGGAGATTACTAAATTCCACTTCAATTCCGTTTCAGCAAATTTCTACATTTTAATTCAGAAATAATTAAAATTAAGAGAAAACACTGATGGATGCCTGTTCAACATATACAGCACTGATGATGCTTGAAGAAAAAAAGCCTGGTCAATTTGAAACTGTAACTGTCTTGTGTTGGTCGTTATGCTAAATTCTGAGATGATCTGTGAGTTGAGATTGAATTTTGTTTATATGTATATATATACTATTTTGCAGGATCATAAGTAACATGAAAAAACAACCATTTCTTTTGGAGGGTTAAAGTGATGAATGTAAGATAATTTTCATAATCATTTTGTGTCTGTTGGGAGTGATTTGAGCTGTTTTAAAGGTAATTTTTGTGTTTTGGGAGGTTATTATTGGTGAAACTGGTGATTCCGTTTCAAAAGTGGTGATTCCGTGATTTCCGTCCATTTTCCGTTTTCATGGAAATGTGCAGCCTCTACAACTCAACTTATTATTTAGGCCTTGCAGAACTTGCACACAGAGAATACCAAGCAGGTGATTATGAGAGGGCAGAGGAACACTGTATGCAACTGTGGAGGCAAGAGCCAGATAACACTGGAGTCCTGCTGCTGCTCAGCTCCATACATTTCCAGTGCAGGCGACTAAATAGGTTTGTACCTAGACTTCTCAATTGTTTTATTTACTTTTCCCATAATTCAGGGTTCTCCCTACGTTGCGCAAACGGGGCGCGCGCCCCGTTTGGGAAAACTCCCCCCTGTTTGAATCGTTGCGCCCCGTTTGGGAAAACTCCCCCCTGTTTGAATCGTTGCGCCCCGTTTAAATTCCACCACAATAAAAGTTTGCCAGCGCGGGAATCGGCCGTCAAGAATTGCCGTTCGACCAGGACATCCGACGCGTGTATTTTTACCGTACAACGCATGCACTGCAGACAGTACCCAAGTTAACCTGTCACTAACTGTACACTGACTCGACTATCTTATATATACAAGAACCCCAAATACCGTCTATGGTGTGGTGGCGATTTTACGCATTAATTAGTCGTACAGTAAAAATACACGCCCCCCGGACCCCCCTAGTTTTCCCCCTCCCCCTACCCCCTAGTTTCCCCCCCTCCCCCTCCCCCTCCCCCTACCCCTCCCCTCCCCCCTGTTTGAATTTCATCCTGTGGAGAACCCTGCTGGGGCCGCGAACCCGTCTACGTTTCATGCATGAACGCTACGATCTGATCGGCGATGTGCAGCGTAGTCACTTCAAGTCACCGTGAGTGTTGCTACGCTGCTAATCGGCGCTAAAGTAGTCGCCGGTAGTCAAATCGTAGGCCGACCTGAGCGGGCCTTTAGATTTGGTGATTTGGTGTGGTTTGGTGTGGGGTAGATTTGATGTGGATACTAACCCACACCAAATCCACCAAAATCGTCGGTGTGGGCATTGGTCAGAGGAATCTCGGATTAGTAATAGTATGGAATATGCTACACAACAACTAGATACAATAATGTAACCCAAACCCAGGATAGGGTTATAAAGCGTCCCTATCCTTTTGTGTGGAGGAACCCCTGAGTGAATCAATCTGGGCGGGTTGCTGGTGCGTTTTCAGAAACTAGAAATTCCAAACTGGGTTTATTCTCAACACGAACCTTTCTCCGCTATCCCGGAACTTACTATGTATCACAATATTCTGTATTAAACTAATATAACCTGTTATAAAAATTCAAAGTGACGAGCGGCGTATATACATAGAGTGCCATATTTATGTTGACCTGTGACGTACGAATTCCGTATGCGCATAGCGATCGGCAAACGCAGCGTGGCCAACCATATACGCCATGTACACCAAGTATACCCAATGTATCAACGGTGAAATATCGTCAGATTTAGACACCAAGTATCGTACACCAAGTATACGCCCTGTGCACCAATTACAACAAGTATACACCCTGTATACCAGTGGACAAAAATCAAGAATACATGACTACATATTATATGCCCGCATATAATCGACCAATGGGAAGCGTTGACCACTTCCGTCCCAAAAATCAAAGGAATTATGTATATGCCCGCGACCAATGGGAAGCGAGGATTATTTATGGTGACCATAAATATGATTTATGGTGACCATAAATATGTAGTCATGTATTCTTGATTTTTGTCCACCGTGGCCAACCATACACGTGTATGGATGTAGTCATGTATTCTTGATTTTTGTCCACTGTGGCCAAGGACAAAAATCAAGAATACATGACTACATATTATATGCCCGCATATAATAACTGTGGCCAACCATAGACGTGCGCGCGCGGCTATACTAGCATGCGTTTTGCACACAAGAAAAACCGCGATGCTAATCGCGATGGAAATACCGGGTCGTTATTTTCCTAAGTCGACACAAATATGCTGGTCCCAAAAGTGTCGACTTATGCAAGTTTTATGGTACTTTCTATTTTATGCAAACAAGTGACAGATCCAGGGGACAGGAAACACCCCCCCCCCCATTTTTGAACAAACACATACATAGAAG